GCCCGTCAACGGGCCCGCAACCCTCGGTGCTGCTCCCATGCCTCGCTCAGCCAGTGAGCGGGAACCGGTCTGTATGTGGGATCCGAACCCTTGGGCGGGAGCGCCGCCGCGCTTCCCAAGCGGCGCACTATCCAGTGCGCCACCGGGCCGGCCCGGGAAATAATTTTCAATCCAGTTATATACTCTGAGAGATTATCAATTAAGTGTGAGGGTAGAATAAAACATTTTAAGGTATGCAGGGATTCTAAAAATTGACCTCCCATGCATCTTTCTTAATGCATGAGGTACTCCATCAAAGTAAAGGTGCAAACTAAGAAAGAGGAAGGTAACAGGACCCAGCAGACAGGTGTGCTAACACAGACAGGATGAAGAGATGCTCCCGGATGGCAGGAACGACTATATTTCATTATAAGTCTTCTAGTACTATTTGATTTTTGAATTATGCACCTATATTACTTTGATTAAAAAAATGAAGTTTGTTTAAGAAAAAAAAAATGGTTGAAGCACTCAGTAAGTTATAGTTGCCAGATAAAAGGGGAGAAGAGATGAGCGGAGGAGGTTCCTGGGGAGTAAAGCTGAGCGTGGAAACTTCTCTATCCCAGAACCGGCTCTGAGAGCACAGAGACAATCAGGAACGTATGATGAAGGACACACGTGTGTACATGCATGCTGGGAAGAAGGAGCTCTGAATCCTTTCCTTTTTAGGCTCATTTCAGGTGGTGGATGCTTTTGGGACCTCCCAGCTCTGACTGCTGTACTCCAGGCTGGAACATGGTGGGAAGGAGTTCACTGGAACCTGCCCGTCTCAGAAAACACAAGGCTTTGGCGAGGAGGGATGGGAAATGGGACAACTAGTCACGAGAAAGTGTGGACAAGGTCCCTCAAGTTTGTTTAGTTGCCATCCACTCTTTCCCCCTGGCCCATCTCCTCTCCGTTTGCCAGTCTGGTCTAAAGACGAACTATATGATGATGGGTCCCTGTCCAGTCCCACACTTAGAGGAAGTCCCACCCATCCGTTGCAGAAGCATAGTCTGCCTGAGTGCTTTGGGGAAGAGAGTGGAAGGTGACTGACCTTAACTTAGTCCTCACTATGCGCCAGGCATGTTACTTACACTTTCTCATCCCAGCTACCCACTGCCTGGGGTGAGTGAAACTATCATCTACCTTTCTGAGGTGAGGAAATTGGTGGCAAAGCTAACAAGAAACGAGGCTTTTTTTGCACCTGTCTGCTTGACTTCAAAGCCCCCCAGATTGAGAAATGGATGTAGAAAAAGCACAGGGACAAACAAATAAAGGAGAGAAATGGCTTGCATTTTGTCAATAACTGAAGCTGCTTTCACTGGAGACTCATCCCTGCCCTTTTCGGGACCTAATAGGACCTTCTGCCTCTCTCCCCACTGCCCTATCAGTGTAAGATTCATTAGATTTTGCCACATTCTACTTTAGACTTGATGTGTGAGCGCCCATGAGGTAGAGGGGAATGTATCTGGATCTTGCTGGCACTGGCTTTCAGAGCCTGCCTGCCCTGCCTCCCTGAGGGCACAGCCTGTCCTGTCACAGCCAGGTTGACCCCCTGCCTCCTCCCTCCTTTCCAACAGAGACCTGAAGGGTTTGGCTGGGCTACCTATCCACAGCCCTTGGGCTCTTTGGAGCAAGCAATCTGTTCCCTTAGAGTTGGGGGCAAAGAAACAGAGCATGCAGGTGTGTTACTCAAGGGCCTTCAGGTTGGGGACAGAGGCTTGGAGGGTGGGTATATGGAAATCAGGTAGCACCAAAGTCTTCATGTACTCACACTGCTTTCCATTGAATGCCACCACCACTTATTAGCAGCCACCATTAATTGAGTGTCTATTATGTATTTGGCACTTAATCACTTAACTCTTATTAGCTCCATTTTACAGATAAGCAATCTGAGGCTAGAGAAGCTAAGAACCATGACCAAGCTTATCTAGTTAGCACAGAGTTGAGATTTCCACTTCAAATCCTGTTCTAACCTTTCTTATTAAACTTTAATTTTTCTAATTCTACGCCCAAGTTCCTTTTTTAGCAATCCTTGACAAGAATGGGTTGCAATTCAAGAATATGAGAACTAAAATATTTTCAAGGTTACCAAAAAATTATGTACGAAATAAATTCACAGATGTTAGCATTTCCTACAAAGGGAATTCACAATAGGGAAGGGATTATGGTAATTCTATTCATGTGTGATAGTGTTTAATTTTTTTCCCAATTACAGGTAATTAGTGTAGATGAAGTATCTATCATATATATCATTAATATAAGTAAATATACGTTTTTGTAAGTTTTGTGTGATTACAACATTAAACTCTGTGCTTTTTCAATCTTTGACTGCATGGATCTCATCCTAACCTAAAATAAGTGCAAAAAGACATTCTTCTGTATTAACTTTGGAAGAGAGTTCTGGTGCCTATCGCAGCCTTGAATGTGATTCTGTTACCAAACTTTGTACGTTCTCCCTTGCCTCCCAACCTGCCTTTCCAAAAAACATTCCTTTTGCTGATTAACCCAACCCTCCCTTCTGCTTCCCTAAGAGAACATAAACACCTGGCATTTCTTTAGAGATGAACATTCCCCTGAAAATTAAACCAAAAAGGAAGAGAACAGAGAAGATCTTTAAGGCTCCACTGCCTGTTTTATTTTTCAACGGCTGCTCTCTTGTTTCTCTGTTAAGCCGTGTACCACCGCTTGGGTGAGAAGTGTCTTCACCAGTCAAAAATCGATGGAGAGACGTATAATAAAATGGGTTCCCTCGAGTCCTTGGGGAATCCAAGGCAGTCACGTGAAGGGTCTGGGGGACAATGGTTCTGGGTACGTGTGTGTTGAGAAGAGGGCTGAGCTCGCTTCAGGTGGAGGCAAGTCTGCTTTCATAGTGGGTACCATGTAAAGTTGTGTTGGAATGAAAATGTTCAGCAGCTACAAAGAAGTTTGAAAGCTGCTGTGTATAGAATTGAAGCCCCTCTCAGAAGTTTGGAATAGAATTGTCTCCATTCTAAAAGAAGGGTAATATTCTTAACCAACAGCCAGCATTACAGTGAGAAGTAATTATAAGGTGATCTTGCAAAGTGAGGAGTGGCATGTCAACAATGGCAATGACACGACAATGGTTATGGCGATGGGAATGTGTAGGGTGGCAATTCCATCTGACTGCATCCCCTGAATGCCTGAGGCCAAGCTCAGCCATAACCACAGAAGGACTCTGGCTGTCAAACTGGGTCAGACGTGCACCAAAGGGAAGGACATGAGGGTGAGAACCTGGTAGAGGAAGAACCATGATCGCCAAATGATTGTTCTTGCTTTAAAAATCAGCTCCCTGCCCTTCTTTTATAACTATGTTCTCTCAAAGCCTACTTGCTTACTGGGATATTACCCTTTTAAGACTCACACTGTACATATAAGAAATCATTAGGTAATTGATTCTGTCTGTACCTCTCACGGAGCATTAGTAATGTTTCCTTTTTATGAAAATTATGGATATTTGAGTCTTTTTGAAAAAATGGAATCCTTTAGCAGCTACATTTGAGTCTTATCTCATTTCCTAAACCCTAAATTCTTGAAAAGCAGAGTCTGGTTTCATTCATCTCTATCTCCCTGCTTGAGAGTACCTGACATGGTAATTTGCTTATGGAGCAAGCACTCCATAAATATTTTTGAATGAATGGTTCCCTGTTCCATTATCTGGAAATTGGTCCACTGTCCATCAAAACAGACATGCGTGGATTTTAAAATGCTCTTAATGCAAATGGGTATTAATTCTGTTTTCTGGTCTTTCCTTTCTGTCCAGGACAACTGAAGAAAACTCCAGGCAGGTGGCTCAGAAAAGCAGCTTTCTTAGTGTGGACAGAAATGTTAAGGACAAACAGCCTCTACTGTGCCAATTTCTCCTTCATCCTGATTATAGGACATTTGTCAAAAAAGTCCACAAAATATTGTGGCGCAAGGGTGGGCATGGTCCAGTGAGCTTCTAAGGTGTGCACTCACCTAGGTGTCCTCATTGAGCTCCACGAATCTTCAACGAATATAAAAGCCTGGCGGCTGATGTATCAGCCTTCCAGGTATTTATTTTCAGCTTACTCTTGCTCTGTAAAAACACACACTGTCTGATATAAAGTCTGCTGCTGCTGCTGACAATGATGATGACAGTGATGATGATAATGATGACAAGAGTAAAATCTGTTGAACACTATGTGGCAGGCACTGGGCTGAGCCCCTTATGCACATGATCTCATTTAAACTTCACCATTGCCTTAAGAGGTAGTACCGTTATGACTCCCACTCAACCCATGATCGGACTACACACCATGGACCCAGCAAGGTAAAGTCACTTGACCAAGGACTCAGGGCTGCTATCACGAAGGCAGTACTTACCTAGGAAGTACAGAGTTAGGTGGCCTGGATTTTGCAGGCGACGTAACTTTCAGTTCTGGCCCAGAACTCCCTGAAGATCCTGGCAGAGAACCCTGCGCCGGCCCGGGTTGGTTTGGTAGTATTTCCCTTGTGGAAGCCAGGAGATGCTCTTTATCTTTAACTTCTTTTTCCCGGGACTTGGCTTTGTGTTCCGCCAGGAGGAGGTCAAATTGCTTTTTCCGGCCTGGGACTGCTCTCCGATGGCTTAGCGAATGTGTCTAAGGAGAAGAGAGATGAAAAGCACAGCCTCTTTGATCAGCACATAAACCTGCTTCCCCAGGCCCTCCATTTCAGAAATAGCAATTCATGGGAATTTAGAGGTGCTTGAAAAGTCAACTTCAAGGCAACAGCTCCTGTTCTGTGGCTAGGAAGAGGCAGAGACCACACGAACACCAACCATGCCCTACACTCCTGGTGTTAAGAAGCCAAAGCTTCCTCCAAAAAATGGCCTAAGATGACGAGCTTCAGGGCAGAACCCATGAAAACCTCTCTGATGAAAGGCAACCGCGAGGGAATGCTAGCGTTAATCCAGGTGCAGGTGGGAGGCTCGATGCGGCCCAGAGAAACAGAGCCTCCAAGCAGAGAGGGCCATAGCCTCGATCCCAAGAAGCACTAGCAGGTCAGTAGGAAATATGGGCTTCGGGCTACCCAGTGGCAGCCGTCTTGTGCCAGCTGCTCCCCTGGCCACCCCAGTGTGGCTGGATCAGGGGCGCGGCTTATCATCCTCCCCTCCAGGGCTGCCTTTCAGGGCGCTGCCGCCGCCGCCGCCGCCGCCGCCGCGCTCCTGCATACATTAAAACGTAGCAGGCTTCAGAACCGCCTGTGAGTGCCTATAAATACAATTTACTGTCTGGCCTCACAAGTAACAGGGGAAGCCTAGTTTTTTTTTTTTTTTTTCTTCTTAAAAAGCCAGCCAGCTTGAGGCAGGCACTCTGCTACCATGGACGAGAAGAAAGCATTTCCCTTACAAAGAACAGCTGGGGGTCATGTCGAGGTTCCACACCCTGCCGTGTGCAGAGAGTGGCATGCAAACATTTCGACAAAGGCCCCAGCGAGAGCAGGAAGTATTTTTTATGGAAAGAGAAATACCTTGCAGGTGAGGGATCTTGTGCAAGGTTTCTTTGTCTCGGGATCCAATACTCCACAGTGTTTATTTGGGTCAAATTCTCTCTCTGGTTTAAGAAACAAACAAAAAATATAAGAAAAAAGGAGACTAAGTAGGATTTGGCATTAAGACTACATGAAAAAAAAATGCACATTTGCACCAACAAGTGAGACATTGTCAGGCAATCTGTTTTTTTGTTGTTGTTTTTTCAACCAGCTGCTAAAATGCATCAAGAACCGTTCAGGGGCAAATGGTGCTCCCCTCTGAACCCAGAGATCCCAAGTCCAGCTCCGGTGGGAGTGCCCCAGCAGCATGGCTGGGGAATAGGGTGGGAGTGGGCACTGGAAGGGGAGGAGCCCTGCTGCTCTTCAGCTTTATTTGACTTGAAACAGGTCCTGGGCCCTTTGGGCATCACTGGCTGCAGACTAGGGAGGCCCACGACGCAAGGGCCACTTTTTCCTGGGCTGCTCCAAGAGGACACACACCCCACCCTCACCCCTGCCTTCCTTGTAGTTTTAGCCACTTAAGTGGGAGATTATTTCTTGACATGTCAGTGTGACCTGCCTCTCTCATGCCTTACAAAGTCCTCAGCACAAGCCCCTCAGCAAAGCTATCTTCACAGCCTCACTGACCAGAAAAATTGGTTACCTGACTCAGGAACATTCTGGCAGTGTCCCAGGCAGGGGCAGGGGCAAAGCCTGGGTGTGTGCCTTAGTGCACCTGAACTTGAAGGTGCACAGACATCAGGGACTGCTAATCTCACTGCTTTCTCTGCCCCAACCCTGAGCCTGATGCTCCAAATGGGAATAAGACAGGGCACGTGGCCCTGGGCATGAAGGATGGCCAGTGGGAGGCCAGGCTTTCCCCAGATCCTGCCTTCCAACTGGACTGTTGGTGACAGCTCATGTGGCGGTTACTTCTAAGGAACCTGTTCTTTTTATGTCCATCTTGGGTTCTTCACCCTTTCTGGGATGACATAAATGCTCTCCTCACCTGGAAAATAAGGGGACCCTTTAGACTTTAAAGTTGCACCTCTTAGACAGCCTTTACCATTTCTGGAAGACACCCAGCAAAACACCTAAGTCTTGCCAAGCAGGAACGACACAGCTTTCTGGGCACGTGGGAGGCCAGTAGTGGTGTCGGTGGTGGTAGGGGGTGTACAGAAACTTGGTGGAGAGTCCTTAAGGGCCTCGAATGGCTGTAAACTCAAGAGAGCTTACCTAACCAGGGAAACTGTCTGAAATTGGTGGAGTAAACTGAGTACAATAAATGAATGTGTTCTATTTTCAAAAGAAGGTTTGGCGTCATGGGGATGTTACAACAGTGGTGCTGACTACATGTGCAAGAAAACCATTCTCATACCCAAGACAGATTCCCGGTTGGTTATCAAATGCCTCCTTGCCCTTTTTTGCTTTTGTCCTTTTATTTTATTTTATTTTTTTAGCTTCACCTTTAAGGAAAAAAATGCTTGGTCTGAGCTTTCTCCGCCCAGCGAGAAGTGAGGGCTTGAGTGCCAGGCCCCAGGCTGCCCGGGATTGAGCTCTCCCGCTTGGGTCTTTCTAGTCAGGCCCATGCCCAGATCCATACCAGCACCTCATGTTGGCCTGGAATTGAGCTGGTTGTTGGCTAGGGTAGGAGCTGGCTGCCACATGTGAAAGCAAGGTAGAAACAAGCAAAAGACCCAATGAGACAAGACAACCAACAAAATGCAAAAACAAACAGCAAAAAAAAAAAAAAAAAAATCCCCAAACAACTTCAGATGGGAGTGCAGGCTGGAAGCCCACATCATGCCTCTGCTACGACAAGGAACCCACAGCTCCGGACACTGGGCCAGGCCTATTGGTTTTTCCAGGGATGCTGCCACCCACCTCTGCAGAACAAACTGAACTTTCCATTCAGGAAGAGAGCCAGGAGTTGGGGGCTCCCAACCACGAGGTGAGGCCCCATTTGCTCAAAGAGAGCACCAGGCTCTACCTTTCTCTCTTGACAGTGGATGAATAGTACATGGAGAGATTTGCAGGGTGCAATACTTATTTCATTTCAATGCTTTGGGCCTGAGGTACTTTTAGAGTTACAGATGTAAGAGAAAAACTAGAAATACAGATTATTTTTCAGTCAGGCATGAGCCTGACCAAAGTAGAAAATAAATATTACCCGCAATTCTTTGGGTGCTTAAAAATCATGCTCAAACCAGAGGAAAAGTTTCTCCCTTACAGGGTGGCTTTCACCGTATTTTATTTTTTTCTGGCCACTGTTAAGACAGTGTGCATGGTGTGTGAAGAAGTTATGAAGTTTATAGCTCTTCCTTGTCTTTTGGAGAAAGCAGAACTGCCAAGTGTAGTTCTACAACAGATCCAAAGCAAACACCATCCACGTGGGGGCCTGTGAGAGGGCAACTGTCACCTAAAACAATGGCCAGGCGTGCCTTTCTGGGAACCCCAAATGCCTGCTCAGACAACCAAGGAGTAAACCTGAGACAGACCCCCTCCCCCAACACCCCATCTGCTGTGCCAGCCTGAGTGTTCCCAGTTGGGAATTCCAACCTGATTTTGGGGGAAAGGCAGTTGTAGCCCCAAATACGGAATCAACCTAGAAACTTATGAGGTCAAAGGGCAGAAGTTGTATCTCCCTGTGCAGCCCAGTCACTGACGGGGCTGTCTCTAGCATTCCTTGAGCCACTGTGAGATATCCCTGTGGGTTGTCCAACTTGACAGCAGTGAAGCTTCTGTGGAAGCCAGAGGAAGTTCAGCCTGTCAGCATGACATGGCTGCAGAGAACCACCTGCTAACAGGACCTTTGGAATCCACAGACTGTCAGGTTGGTGCAGAGCATCCTGCCTCCTGGGTCACTAGGGTAAGTCCTTTTAGACACTGAACCGAGTGAGGACTTTATCTGCCTGGGGAATAAGAAAGCCAGTTCTCCCTTGCATTTTTAGGTGGGGATCCTGTTTGCAGGTAAACTCTGTATCCCCCTTAGAATGAAACACACCTGCTTAATTATAAGAATATATCACTCCCTGGTTATGGATGTGACTCCATTTCAGTCTAATCATAAGTGAGACTCTAATGATGCTGACACATACCTGAAAGTCTCCTGTAAGGCTTGTTGCTGTTTTTGGTGCCATTTTGGTGTTTCTTGTCTATGGTGGCTGACAGAATTCCTTTGCCATTTAAGATCTTCTCTGGTGAAGGTGGCACTGACTTGGACATCAAGACTGGCTTAATTAAAGGTGGGGTGGAGACAGCAGAGGACATGGTGGAGGAGGAGGTGATTGCAGTAGTGGTTGTAGAGTTCATTTTGACATTGGCACCATCTGCCTTTACTAGGTTAGGAATTTTCTCTAAACTGACTACAGGAACCGGAACGCTGAAAAATAAATGAACAAACACATACAATTGCCTTCTTTGATAAATCTGCTCCACTGAGGAGCTATACCAGCTTATCATGATCAGAACAGTTCCTTATCACTTATTTATACTCCTCCTATAAGCGAGCAGCATGATTCCAGTTTTGGTGGGAGAGAGATTTGTGCCTTGGAAAGGACCAACGGGGGGTGAAAGGCTGGCACTGTGCCAGGGACAGCATCAGAGCTGACTGATGACTTCCCGTGCTGGGCTGTCCCCATAGATCCTGCAACTCCCCCATCCTCAGTCCCTCTACATTGACTGTGTCTGACACAGCAGCACCTTGGGCAGAACAAGGCACCTGCTGCGGAACTCAGGAAGGATGCTCTCTGTCCCCTGAAGACTGTGCCACCGCTGAATCACGCCCCCTCCCCTCTTGCTCAGCCAGTCTCCCACCCTCAGCCTGACATCTGCTGAGCTCCAGAGGGCTGACAGGATCGCACCACAAGGAGGCATGGCTGCAGGCCAGCAAGCCCACCACACGCTGTCAGAGGGCTTCTGGATCACTCTCACATCCTGGGGATGGACTCAAATTGAGTGAGCCACCATGTAACATGATCTAGTATTCCATTTTAGGCAGCTAGTTATGTAAATAGGCAATTCTCAGGGCTGGCAGGTGAGAGGATGAATTTTAAGAAGGCAGAGCACAAAGGTGTGCATTTACTCTTCTGAGTCTGTCACCTTAGCCCCACTTCCCTGCTGCTGATCCTGCTCCTGTAACAGCTGAGCATTTGATTTCTGCAGCTCTTTAATGATGGAGGATCCTGTGCCTGGGGAGCTGTGGAGGACTCTGTCTCGGGGTTTTACAAGATGAGATTAATAAGCTTTGCTTCGGTCCCTGAACTAGATTCCTTTTCCTCCTGGCAAGAGGATAGAATGCTAACACTTCAGCTTCCCAATCATCTTCCAGCTGAGAGTGGAGGCTACTCAGCTATTTGAATGTCAGATTATCTAGAATATGGCTTTTACGCGCCTGCACACAACGTAGGGAATGAAAAAGAGGCTGTTTTTGGCAGGAGAGGAATCTGATCTATCCACATGGCTGGCAGGTGTTCCCTTCGCTAAGATTCACTTACAGATCACCTCTTTAATCAACTTGTTCATGAAAGCAACCCCGCAGCCCCTGCCCCTTTTCTGACTTTGCAACAGGACCACAGGCGTTAGTTACAGATCTTTGCCAGTGAGAAGGGCACACATAGTGGAGCAGATTGTGGCTGGGCATTACAGACTTCTCCCTCGGACCATGTGCCTTCTTGCCCTGGGGAAGGGTGGTATGGGACTTCAAGTCACAGGACGGGAGACAGTGGGATGGTGGTTTTTAGTAATATACCATGTCACTGCCAATTCTGACCTTGATCAGAGCGTCTCAATCACTGAGATAGATTTGAGCTGCAGCTACTTTCTACTTAATGGAAATTCTCAAAGTACTCACATACTGCTGAAGAACAGTACAAGAAGCCCTTGAAGAGTGAGCACGCTAAGAAGCTACACAGATATTACCTGGTGAAATTAGTGCTGCACTCCTGATTTTTTCCAAATGATAAAAAATGCAAAACTATGTTATATAGACTTCTTCTAGGCTCATTTCTTCACTCAATTTTGAGAAACATAAGTTACAAAAATCAGGGTTTCAAAGAGCTATCTGTACACTCCTGTTCATAGCAGCATTATTTGCAATAGCCAAAAGGTGGAAGCAGCCCAAGTGTCCATCAGCAGATGAATGGATAAACAAAATGTGGTATTATTCAGCTTTAAAAAGGAAGGGAATTCTGACACATGGATAAACCTTGAGGACATTATGCTTAGTAAAATAAGTCAGTCACAAAAAGGCAAATGCTGTATGATTTCACTTATATGAGGTACTTAGTCAAATTCATAGACATCGAAAGTAGAACAGTGGTTGCCAAGGACTGAGGGGCGGGGAGGACAGGCAGTTGTTTAATGGGTATAGAGTTTCAGTTTTGCAAGATGAAAAGAGTTCTGGAGATTGGTTGTGCAACAGTGTGAATATCCTTAACACTACTGAACTGTTCATTAAAAATGGTTTAGATGGTAAATTTTATATGTGTATTTTACCACAGTTAAAAAATTTTAAAAACATATCAACTAAAAAAAGGCAAAGATCATAAAACTCATGCCACCTAAATTATACCTCAATAAACCTGACTTTAAAAATACATATTATAACCTGCTCAGAAAACTTTTGTTGATTTAATCGATCACCCTTGTTCTGATCTGTTGACTTATTTCTTAAGGACAAAAAAATCAAACTTTGAGTGTTGATATGCACACAATACTAGTCAGGCAAGCAGGTGTTCCAGCATTTGACAGGCTTTCTCTGTCGCAGTTCTTTGGGAAGCCAAGTTAGTTCAGAAGAGGACATGAGGACTTTTGCATTCCAGATCTAGCTGTCTTTGCATGAGCTGGCATGAGTAAACATAAGGCCTCTAGTTTCTGTGAAAAGTGCCCTGGGTATACGTTGAATACTCATATCAGCAGACAGAGATGTAATGCCTGGAATACAATAATCCAGGGCAGTTGTACAAACAAATAAATTTAAAAATTGAGCAAAGGGCTCATCAAATGCTCACAGTACAGTCTGCGTTTATCCTCTAAAGCCAAAGTCCAGCTCCAAATGTACTCCTTAAGGCAGCCACATGAGCACAAGTGCTGTAGGTGCAGACATTTGGAACAGTGCCAGTGACTCATCTCTTTGGTGATGCTTCTTCCCAACTGTGTGTAAGTCAGCTTGAGCCAGGCACAATGTCTGTAACTGATCTCCTCATTTGGATTTTTTTCTACTAAGGATGAACCATTCAAACACTGTACTGCCAATGCTTCCAGAACTCCAGTTAGACTTCAATCCCAGTGCCCATAGGCAGGATATGGAATCGGAGCCCATCAGAAACAGGAAAGAGGCTGTTGTGCAGTACTTTGGGACTGAAGGATGGGAGGTGTTGGGAGAAAAAATCCGATCCAGAATGTTTTAAAGGATTCCAAAGATAAGGTGAGTCAGTAGGGAGCTGAGCCACTGAGTAAACACCCTGATGCCAGGTAAGCAGGTCACATCGTGGTGGCAGGAAGAGAGGGGAGACTGAATTCTTTTTAAGGGTGTTCACTGGTGGATGGAGGAGGTCTGTAGATAGAGTGAAGGAGGAGAACCTGGGAGCTGTCCTGGAACTTTTTTCTTTGGTGTACTACTACTCTCTCAAAAACTGTGGGCTTCCCCTCTTAAGTAACCTTCCTATGGCCTGGACTGAGAAAGGGAGTTAGGAGAAGACAAGATGCAGGCAGCTCAATGACTGATGTGGGAAGGGTCAAACACACCTCAGAGGAAGAGTATGTGTGTGTGCATGTGTGTGTGTGTGTGTGTGTGTGTGAGAGAGAGAGAAGTAAAGTGAAAATCATTCCTATTTTGCCTTGACACCCTCATCCCCCTGCACAAATGCAGCCATCGGTCCATCTGAGCAGTCGGTCTCCTTTCTTCACGACTACTGCAACAGCCCCGAGATCCTAAACCAATGAACAAAGGAGGAAATGACTGCAAGATGGTGCCATGCAATTCAGAAAACGAACCCCAGAAATTCAATGCTTTTTAAGCAAAGAGACCAGCTGCCACAATAACCTATGAAGAGCCTCCCACATCCGCTTCACTTCCATACAGATCCCCGGCATGTGTCCCTACTCCAGTGAGGGGCGTAGTGTAGCTATCGGGGAAGCCATCACCCCGGAATTGTCTTCTGCATTCTCCCACTGTCCCCTCTCTCATTTCCTTCACTTCCTCTGTCCCAGCCTTGAGCAGGTAAGGGCCCTTTCCAAATGGCAGTGGACCCTGAATGACAGGTTTAATTTTTTTCCATTTGAAAAGAAGCCAGAAGACTCTGACCCCTGCTTTCACAGTATGGGCATCTCCCATCTTTTCTGTGTCTAATCACAGTGACTCAAACACCCCCACATGCGGTGAGGAGCTGGGAGGGGGTGGTTAGTTGGCAACATCCAGATGGCTGAGTAAGCAGTTTATTATTCTGCTTGCTTAGGCGATAAACAAGCCTGACAGTTACCCCTGAGGTTAGCCAAAGCCTCCTAAAGTTCCTTCCCCTTCAGTCTTAAGGGATGTGTTCACACACTTCTGAAGCTTCACAATTAGTTGCATTTACCAACTTGCTATTGTCCTTTCTTTGAGGAGCAGTGTTTGAAAAGGAGAGATGAGTCCCCACTGTTGCCTGCTGCTTTCATAATGCCTGTTTTGTTGGCTTGGGATGAACTCTTTCAGGGAGCCCAGGGCTGCAGCTCGTTTCCCTGCTGTGTCTAATACGCTGGGAGTAGTTATCTCCTCGTTATCTCTGGACCTCTGTCTTGGGTCCTGGGAAGGGATCCCAGTGCCGAGAGAGAACAGTCTGCCCAGTCCCCCTAGCTTCACGGGGGAGAAGTCTACCTTCTGTTTCCTTTGTGCTGCTCTGGCTGCTCACGTCTTCTTCCTGTGTGCTTGGCCTTTCTGAATTTATCTTTCTGGACCAAGATGGGTCCTCTGGCTTTAAGGAAAATGGCTCTCTTGGCATCAAGTAGATCCCCCTCCCTGACCAGTAATGTCTGCAAAAGAGCAGAGGTGGAGAATCCTGACAGTGCCGTTGCAAAAGCCACCAATGTGCCGCAGAGCCAGCTGCCCCTGCCAGCCACGCTTTCCTGGTGATCAGGATTTATTCTTTATTATCAACAGATATGCCTTGAGAGAATGGTTCAGAAAGTCTTTAGGTTTGCAGAAATGACTGCCAGCCCTTTTCCACTTACCCTCACAGGGTAAAGATGGATTTGACAGGCAGAAGCCTGAAGGCATATGGTATTTGTGCTGCGGGTTATGTGTGTGATGCGAGTTCTCAGCTGTCTGATTTCTTTCCCTAATTCCATCGACAAAGGCCCATGTGCCTATGCTACTGGCCTGGCAGAATTTTGAGAATCTTGGAT